AACCGTGAGCTGAGACACTGCTTTTTCGACGTCTTCGTGGCGTGAATTTCTCGCGAAGGGTTAAAAATACCGAGTTCCTCCACCGCCGTGACTCTCAACCCTTCATTTCCAGAGGAGAGAATGCGAAAATTTCGTTTCGAGACGAATTGATTCTTGCGAATAGTTTTTTTAAGTTATCTTTTTTTCACAAGACGAGATGATGAAAAAATGATTATGTGAATCGATCTATGGATATTTTGATATTTGTTTTTCTATTCTTTGAATCGATTGTTGTGTTGCGTTTGAATGAGTTAAAATGATGATTGAATATTTTTTGAATGGTTCTAAGAAAGAATGAGAACGATGCACGGTTTTTGTATGGTTTGTTGTGAAAATTCTTGGAATTTTGATTCGTTTGATATCCAATTGTTTGATATCACAAATCCTAATACTATAATTTGTAATATTGATGATACTGTAATTTGTAATTTCATTGTTCTCGTTTCTTGAAATTTCTTTTTTTTTAGAATTGTAAATTTATTAAATATATTATTAGATTGCGATATAATATCTCCAGTTGTATCAATTTTCCCGATCAAATCAAAAATTCAACGATATCTCTACTATATTTTTAGATTACACAATTATATCACTTTTATATTCTACATTCTAAAAATATATATGTCGTTCCATTCTTTCTCCTATCTTCATCTTATCGCATTAAGCTCTCCAAATAATGAATTGCGGATCGAAGATGTCATCATAAGTTGAAGGAAGCATATTATGAAATGGGAGAAATTTTGAGAACCATCTGCAGTTAGTCGGCGAAGTGGCAGAGTGTCGGAGCAGCGCGAGGAGAGCATTATAAACTCTTCTTGGCCGTGTTTCTGCCGTTTCTACTTTACCGCTTTCTACCCTGCCGTGCGAGAAACTAAAATGAAAAAGAAGTGGCTGTATGTGTGGGTGATATACACGTGCCAGCGGCGTTTTATCGCGCGGTTTATGTTGCACACTCGCCACCCCCTAAAGCCGACATTTGCCTGCAGCGGCAGGAGTAAGAATGCTAATTGGAAAGCCGGGGCCATTTCTTTCTTTCGTCTTGCCTAGGGAAAGATATTTCCTTCTGCCGCCCTTTTTACACCGGAAATTTATAGCGTGCGCCTTTTCAAATCCTGCCAGAGATGAATTTCGATGCTTCCAACTGTAAACTCCTTCGCCGTGTTTAGAATTTTAATTGGGACCGTTTTTTAACTTTAGATTATGCAAAATGGATTACTTTTTGCAATGTGTTTGCGTTGTCGAATTTCTAGCTTTTTTGCACTCTCTTTTTATTTGCATTTCGATTGAAATTTTTAGCATGTTTGTTTTGTTCCCTGACCGTGTCCAAAATTTTGTGTTGGTAATTTTGTTTGTTAGTTAGTTAGAGTTTGGTTTCTTATCGAATATTTTATAGTAATTGATGTTTAATAATTCTTTTCATGATCTTGAAGTATTTTTCGTAAAATCGAATAGATTTGAAACGTGTTATATATGTTTTTATATATGTTAATTATTTTTACATATTTTCAGTTTTAATTGTTACTTAATGAATTATTTATTGTCTAATAAATTTTCAATGTGAACGTGCTTTTCCTAAAAATTCATCCTCAGTGAATCAATTCTTCTTATCTTCATCTAAAGCAACGAGATTTCATAATTTTGATACGATTGATAAATCGATTGAAAATTTTGATATCGAATATAATTTGATATTTCTATTAAAAAATTTGTATTGCTCTCTACGTAGTTTCTTTTTTATTTGAGCTGCGAATAAATTCTAATTTATTCAACGAGTGCCTTCAAAAACTTATCCTCCAAAGTGTCGATTTTGTTGCGAAAAACTTGGGAAAATTTAATGGAGAAGGCCGCGATGTGGTAATTTCGAGATGGCTCTGTTCCACGAAAGAAACTTTGTCAGGGATTGTACCGGAGCCAGTTTATGAAACGGAAAAAGTTCTGACCGTCAAAAGAACTTTGAACTTTGGACGACCCTGGATATAGGGGACGGGGGAAAGGAGGAGTATGCGATGCACATGGGAGCTTAAAGGGTTTATTATAGGTGGTGTCGGAAGTTAAGGTTGCAACACAGGGGCGTGGCAATGCTGAAAGTAGCACAACCACATTTATGTAATGGCGTTGCGTCAAATAAAATTTTTCTTCTTCCAATAAATATCGTCATGAATTTTACGAAAGGTTTTACACATTGTTGTTTCTTATTGTTTCGAAATAAAAATTTCAAGTATTTTCTGAAATTTTTCTGTATATTTTATAATTCAGATTATGTTTTGTAGTTTAGAATAATTTTATTTTATTTCGTCATCATTTGTTCCATGTTAGTAATGCTCGATGTAAAAAATCGTTTGTTAAGATTTTTCCTTAATTTTTATTCGAGGACAGATTTATTTTTCGTAATTTTTCTTTGTTTCTTTATAAAAACTGCAACGGCACGATGTAACACGTGTCTCTTTCAATCTTTCTGAATTTTATCATTTTCCAGTTTTATCCACAATTTAAAAGCTTTTGCTCCCTCTTCTATTTACTCGCATATCTTCTCTATTTTTCTTTTTTTAAATTTTGTACAAGGTTTTACGCTGACGAGACACGAAATGTATTATTTTCTTTCTACTACAATTGAGTTTTTTTTTTAAAGAAAATACTTTTCGAAGATAAAATATTTTTCCTATTAAAATGGAAGACAAATTTTGTCATCACTTCTTTTCTTTCTTATACCTTCATATTCTTAACTTGATGAAATATTTTCAAAAGCAGGTAATATCGATGAAGAATGTCTAGTAGAACACGAATTATCTTATTTTCTCATTACTATAATTTCTGTATCTTTTAAAGAAAATTTTCTCTCCATTATCGAAACTAAGGAAAATCTCTTATCCGTTTAATCCCTCTCTTAACGCTTATCTCTCTTTACGGATCCATCTTCTTGACCTGACAAAATTTTTTCAAGAGTATAATATCGACAAAGAATGCTTCTCATCCCGTGTTAGGGTAGGACGTGTCTGGCCAAGTCGCCGTGGATAATTTTCGGAAGGGTTGGGCCGCAGAAAACGCTTGAAGTGGCTCCCACTTTTGCGCGGGTTTATGCTTTCCGGTTCCTCCGTCGCTATTATCCGGCCTCCTCTGTTCTCCGCTCGCGTTGTGCCTGAAACAATAAAACACGTTCATGAATGAAACCCTTCTCTGCACCCTCCCTCGCCCCTTCTGACACCCGCCTACAATTCCACACCCTCGCCGGCCTTCAGGAGTAGACTACCACCCTCTTTTAACGCGCTTTATCATCCTCCTTCCATTCATTCGTAGCTTCAGGTAATAAACTTGGGGTACGCCGAGGGAAGAACGGCGGAAGATCTTCGCTCGGTCACTTCGCCACGCGTACAAGCGTACCAGGAAGAGTTGCTTCCTCGTTTATTTTTAAAAACGGAAGGGTGGATATATCGTTATAATTACCGTGGGGAGTTTCCGTTTCGAAGGTCAGCCGTGATTTTCAAGGGCGAGCCCGTGAAGGGAAAAGGGAGGCGTTAATTCAGGGATTTGCATTTCGTGTGATTTCGAAGTAGTCGAAGAATGTGGAGGTGAATTTTTCGTTTTGATCATTCTACATCTTTAAGATGAGTGATCTTTTTTTAAGTTTCCTTCAGTGAGTTTTCAAAAATTGTATTTTATCGAATAAATAATTTGATCAATTATAAGAAATAAAAGTAATTTTTAAAAACGATGTTGAAAATTTATTTGAAGAAGATATAGCGGAAAAAAAATCAAATATCTTGGTGGTTCAATTTTATAATAATATTAGATGACCGGTTATTTGCTAGTTGCTTACGTGTAGTTACAGGATGTTGTTTTGTTGTTATTTTGCCAAGCATTTTCCTATGTTTTCTTGTTCTACTTGCCGCTTCCTATAATAAACTCCTAGATGTAACGCAAACGGGAGCGTGAAGAAGTCTCTTGCTTGATTTTTTATGCACATGAACGCCCGATCAAAGCTTACATAATCTGTTATTTATAACGAAGGCTGGCTACCTAGGATAAATAGAATGCTCGATCTAAAGGTCACTTTAGATCTTCTCCTTTCTCCTGTACATCATAGAACCGTGAAACGCTATCTTGTTTGGAGTATCTCTTTATTCTCTTGTAATAACATCGAATTAAAAATAGAAAATTTTCAAAGAAACATTCAAACGTGAAATTATTGCAGAGCATTATTTGCTTGTGTTTAATTAACATGAAAAATCATCCAGAAATTTGCTTCTCATTTGTAATGAAGACTCGTGAAAATGATGTCTGATGAAGAAATTATGATTATAATTGCAGCAAGTATAAACTCAGCCTTTCAACAATCAGATTTCCGACTTATTATCACCAAATTGCGAAACGATGTTTAAACTTTATCATTCGTATCGAATTGGACAAAAAAAGAAAAAGAAAGAGAAGAAGGAGAAAGATTATCTTTCTCGATTCAAATTAAAATCGTATAAAAAGGAATGGTCTCTCAGAGGAAACGTGTAAATGCATTTAATTGTTAAGTCAGTCTCGAGACGAGACGAGAGAGACCGAGGGCAAGTGAAATGGATCGGAGAAAGATGGAGAGTGCATGCAGACAGATAGAAGAGACAGACTGAGAAGGCTCCTCATTCGTAGCACAGAGCTAGAGATCGCAGTGGGCATCCATTGGCCGGAACTATGGGGTGGGTTGGCAGCGCTATGGGCTACTATCGGCTCCTTGGGGATGTTTCCACCCCTATTTCTACCAACTACCCCCCTTACAGTGTACACCGAATACACTGGTATAGTTATACAGACTCGTACATGCCGGGCTGTTGGGGTATTGATCGTCGTTGGCTCCAGAACACCACGTTCTACCTACTTCTCCTTCACCTGCAATAGCACGTCCTTACACATCCTTGCCGCTCCTTCTATGACCGGAGGTGCATCCCCCTTGGTCCACGTCCGATTTCTATCTCGTTGCTGGCCACGAAGTTCGGACTGAACTCGGTATCGGGATTCGTTGAGGGATGATGCTGGTATATTCTCGTTATCACGAAACACTCTTTCGTCGAAATGGAAGTAAAAATGGATCATTCGTTTGAAATGTATCTCTGGAGGAATTTTTTCTCGTTTGTGTCGAGAAATAAAAAGATTTGGATGGTCAAAAGTAGACGCTTTTTGTTTTAGTCTTAATGGCATAATTTTTTTTATATTAATAATTTATAATATATTTTTTTATAACTGCAGTTTTTATATAGATATTGTATTTAATAAAAAAAGCTCGTTGAATTTATTGTCTTTCTTATTAAAATGAGGAATTTAAAATATGTTAATGTAAATTGAAGAGTTTTCTTTAAATACACCTTAATTATATGTATATGATATACAAGGAGATGATAGAATAATAATAATTGTGATAGAAATATATCACATGGAATTTTAAAAATAATTTAGAAAAAAATCTTTAATTGGTTTGTCAAAGTAGACGAATATTTAAAAAAGAAACTTATTTTCTAGGATCGATTCAACGTATCACATTTTATAAATCAGATATTTACTTAATTGCGGTTTCAAATTTTATATGTATCTGTAACAAAAGATTCATTAAATTCTCGCAGACTTATCTGCGGTGAATACCTGTGGAATACAGAAAAACTGGGAAGAGACGGAGCCACGAAGGGGAAAGAGAGAACCCAATGGAGAAACGGAGGGCGCGAAAACCTCTGGTAATCGAAGACTCTTATCTTTATTGCTGAAATTCCACGTATCTTTGGGAGCGAAAGGACCGATGGAAATGAGGACATTCCGTTCCCCAGCCGGATTGGGTTTCGACGATTAAGGATCCTTCTAATCCTTCCAACCTGACATTGTATTCCGCTACCACTATTCCTCCACTTTTCCTCTCTCACTCTGCCCCGTCCGCGATCTTTCTTCATCCGTTCGTGCACATGGGAAAGTTGCTTACATTCGCAAATAAATTCAAATATGTGGTCGACACTGACGAGTTGCGAAACTATTTCGAGCTGTTCTTCGCGTATCCAAGCGTAACTGAAGTTAATGTTTTTGTTAAATTACAGACGTATTATTAATGTATATAAACTTGGAACTGTTATTGGAATTGTAATCGACACCGTTATTTTAGAGTTTGAAAACGATTAATATGTATTTTTCTTTTATTCTGCAATTTCGAACGAATGGATAGAGCAAATATATATAAAATTTTATATTGCTGGAATTTTTTGACACTTTCAATATTTTTCTTTGTTTGAATCGTTATCTTTCGTGTATTTTTATTTAGAGATCAATTTGAATTGAATTTAATAACGAAGAGAAATTCAAAAGAACTTTAATCACAAAAACTTTTAAAGAATAAATAAATGATAAATAGTAGATAATTATAAATGAAATGCATGTAAAGTTTTAAAAATTAAGTATATATTAAATTTTTTCAAATTTTAAATCTATTTTACTTATAAATTGGTTGATAATTTATACATACAATTATAAATTATTAACGTATAAATTTATTAACGTATTAAATTTCATTTTCATTAAGAGCAATTTAATCATTGTCAGAAAGTCATAAAAATATTGCATTCATTAAATATTACATCCAAGCAATAGATCTATTTGAAAGAAGCTTTTATTGTAAATAGCTTAAGCAAAATTACGACATTTCGTATGGTATAAACGAAGCAATGGGAAAAGTAAAAACGGAGAAGCGGTAAAACTAAAACGAACGCGAAGCTTTTAACGTAACATTCGAGAAAAGTTTCCGATACAGTACTGTTTACATTGAGCAGAGCGTATCGCGATTCGGTTGCCGGATCAGCGGCAGACCTTTTTCTACTTATTCGATTTTCGAGCCAAGCAATCGATCAGCACGACGAGACAATGCACGTGAGATTTTATCGCCGTAGGTGATTTCAACGATGTCCGTATTTCCACGAGAGATTTTCTCAGAAAGGAAAATCCACTTTGCGATAAGTGTATGAAAAGTAATCAAAGGGAAAGAAGAGAGTTCGTTTCTAGTAATCGAGATACGAGACTTTATGAGATGAGTTAAATGGTAAAAGCTCGTTAACCTGTTGAAGGATGAATTATTATTTTTTCCTTTTCGACAGAATTTTTATTTAAAATTATATTTATGAATATTAAATTTGAACAGATTCCAAATATATACTTGTATAATCGTTGCGCAATAATCTTATCTTGCATTTCGAGAAACAAAATTTTATTATTTTTCCTGTGCTCCATTAATATTAAAATAAATAAATTAAATTGTTTCTCTATAAATATATTTTTGTTATTATTAGAACTTTTATTTGAGAGATAAAAGACACGAAGAATTTTAAATATTTTAATATATCTTAAAAAATGAACTAATCAAGGAAAGTATATGGTTAATTAAATTAAGATATATATATATATAAATTAAATTATACACATGCATTAGTGTATAATAATTAAAAAAATTAAATAACAATTTCAATCTTCTATATACTTAAGAAACAATTTATTAATTTACAATTATTAAAATTAAAAGAAAAAAATTAATTACGTTTCCACTTTTTTCAATGATTAAGCGCTTCCTTTTCAACTTTGCTATTTTTTTTAAATACTTAGCGCAACTCCTTTTTTAACCGATTACATTTGATTCAAGGCTCGTTTACGAAGAGTGCATTTCTTATCCTTAAGAAGGAAAGAAATTTACGAAGTGGTGATAATGCTTTTCCTTTGGGTGGAGGGGATAAGTCAGAATGGTGGATGCAGAGGGTGGGGCGAATGGTATGGGGAACCACGTTTTCCAGAGAGGGTAAGACGGGGCTAGCGGTGGTGGCAGTGATGGTGGTGGTAGTCTAACATTTGCAGGGGAATATGAAAGGGGTTTTGCAAGGAAAGGCGGGGTAACAAGATGGCCGCGACCACCGACGTAGGGGAAGTAAGACATTTATCCATAAACAAGACTGTGCTAGCTTTTGCTTCCACTACGCTGGAAAAGTAACTAACAAACATCGCTTAAGGGTTTATATCATCTTTCTTACTAATGTTGAAATGTATTTCGCGAGTTATATTAATTTAATTCGTTAATTGTATCGCTACTTGTATACTGTAAAATGAAATTTTGTTATTTTAAGTTAATGGATGAATCACGTA